GGGCTGCAAGCAGCTTCCACATTTTCACTGACCACTTAATACCCTCTTCCTCTGCGGCCTTTCACCATCTTTGTTGTGCTGAGGAGGTGCTAACAGTCTAGGCTGTAGGTCTGAAATGAGTGTCTTTTCAGATGTAAAAGAGCTGTTTAAGCAAAGCAGCTGCTTCCGCGGGCCAGCCAGCCGGCACATCACCCTGGAGCTCAGGACTTTCCCTGGAGCCCGCAGGCCGGATGAGACCCCTCTGCTTCCTACACTGTGAGGGCTGGATCTCTACTTGTTAAGGCCAAGCACATGTGGTGTTCCTGTTACAGCGATACTAGCTCAGGCAGCCACAGCCAGGCCTGGTTCGAAAAGGTCTCGTCAATTCTGTTACCTGCCACACTCAGTGTGATCTTTCTCTGAATGAGAAAGAGGCCCAGGTGACAGAAAGGATACCAAAGCCCTGGCTTTGGGGACGTTACAGACACCACAGCAGGAGCACCCAGGTGGCGCAGGGGTAGGACTTTGACCTTGGGCCTGACTTCACTGCACTTGGGGCTGGGCTTCCCTTTCCATTCATTCCCTTGGGGTGGGGTGGCTGAGGCATGGGTCAATGTGGTGGCAGGGAATGCGGACAATCCGGGGGGAAGGGGGGCTCAACCTGGAGATCACCTTGCAGAGGGCAAAAGGAGGAGTCTTAGAAAGCTTTTCATAGTTAGACGTTTGGGCACTTAATTCCGTGATGCCGGCTCCCACACATCCAATAGCTGGCAAGCTGGTGATCACTACAGGGACCTTGGCCTTGATGGAGGTCAGGGACCAGGGCAGGTGGACGGTGATGAGCAGCTCATACCGTGTGCTCATTAGATCCTTGTCCTGCAGGCGGCCGCTGCTGCTGACGGACAGCACGAGGGACAGGTGGAAGGTGCTGACGACCCAGGAGGTGTTGAAGGGCATGATGTGCGCGTAGGCCTCCTGCCGGAGCAGCTCGCTCCTGTCCTGGTACGTCCGCCGCTCCGTTTTGGGGGTGAAGCCCTCATACTGCACGTGCGCGTAGAGGGCAAAGAGGATGGACTTGATGCACTTGCTGGTCTGGTTGTTGATCTCGGTCGTGAAGATGACCCTATCGCCCGGCACAAAGATGTTTTTTGCATGTGGATCTGCAGGTGCACGGTGCCCTGGCTGCAGCAGTTATAGGAGACCCTCTTCTCCGCCTCTACCAACAGGGGGTTCTGAAGGTGACCGGGGTTAACCTGGTGCATTGAGGTCAGCTGGGTCTTGGTGGCTCGAAGTGCAGTCCAGGAGCGGGCGGTGGAGGAGGCCAGGTCCTTGAGCACCCCGACGCGGGCATGCTTTCATCCTCTCATCCTCTGCTGTGTTGAAGCATCCGTTTCTGAGGGGCCTGGCGAGCAACTGGTCTCCCTGCACCCCACGCCCAGGCTCACCTTGGTGGCTCTCCGCCACCCCCCACCTCTGGGTGTCCTCCGTCCCTTATACCTCCAGGACTCAGGACCCTCAGGAGTCTTGTTTGGCTCTGTGAAGTCTTTAGGGGTAGTTTTGGTTTAAAAAGATGATCCGGCTGTGGTTTGGGGACAGGCAGAGGGCCAGTGTGGGCGTTAGAAGTCAGCTGTGACTTGATCCTCGAAACCCGGTGGTAATCTTGGTCGGGATTGTGCGAAGAACCTATTTCCTAGCGCCCAGGTCTCAGGGAGTGTCCTTGCCTGGTGGCTCCTGAAGGTCACTGATTGAAAGCCTACGCCTTTCTGATCTGGCTTCCGTCTTCACCGGGCCCCTCCGGCCATGGCTGTCTCTCCCATTTCATTAGGACTGTGGATAAAGGCACACGCTGGTCTGCAGGGTCATCGTTGGTTCACATACTCTCCGCTCCACGGGAAGGAACCGGGAAGTGGGATTCTTGAGACAATGAGCTTTGTAATCGGGTAGGCAGGTGTCCTGTCCTGGTGGGTGATTAAACCCGGTGCCACGCGAGGAAGGCCTGGCAATCCGTTCTACAGGCCAGCAACCACCACTAGTTAGTTAACGTGGGCTCGGACGGCAGAGCAGCTGGTAACATACGAGAAGCCACTTCCAGCCTGGAGGAACCCCCTGTGAACGCTGACCCCCGCAGTGACCGCCAGCACATGCTCCTCCCGGACCCAGGGCACTGGCCGAGGGGTAGCAGGTCTGGTTCCCAGAAGGCACCGTGCTCAAGCCCAGCCCAGGGGGTGGGGGTGAAGGCGGGCAGATCGCATGGCGCATGCACCCGTCATTGCCTCGGCCAGGTTCCTCTGCAGGGTTGGTGTTGGTGTGGCCAGAGCACCTGGCGCATGTGCCCGTCAGTGCCTCGGCCAGGTTCCCCTGCGGGGTTGGAGTCGATCCTGCACTTCTTGATCCATGATCTCTGATTCGTGAGATCCACAGCCATCACCTTGCCACCTGATCTGCATATTTTAGATTATCAACTCCTGAAACCATGTGAGCAGAAGTCATCAGCCTTCCAGAAAGAAACCTTTAGCATTTCGTCTGACCCATGGATTAGATCTTTTCCAGTTCTAACAGTTTTGTGAGCCATGCTGTATAGTAAATTTATGTATGTATCACTATATCAATACATACAGATACTAGTTTTGTTCCTATAGAAAATCCAGACAAAATAATTTTACAGTTAAAATTTTATGATCATATTTTAATAACCTTGATAGTCTGACAATGATTTTTGCTAAATTATTATTCTATATTTCTTTGTCTTTGTTTTGCTTTTTTCATTTCTAACATATTTTTTCCTCTTTATTTACTGAAACAACATTCCAGACTCTGGTAGACTGTGAATTTCAAATTCTACCTTACTTCTCTTTGTTATTTTTGTTCAATGTAATCCTGCCTTTTTTGTCTGTTTATCAAACTTTATTTTGGCCAAATAATTGTGTTTTTGTGGTGTATTGTTTTATTCCTTCTTAAATCACTCCACTGAATGATTTTCTCAGCTTTTTATTTATATATCATGAATTTAATCGTAATAAATGTTTGTTCCTCTGTTATCCTAATTTATGCCTCCCTGCTGTTTCCAGGGAAGAGGAGAGAAGGAATTAAGGAACTGGCAATAAGAATGAAGAGAACCAAGTGGAAAGGGAATACTCAAGATGGTAATGACAAGGAAGTGAGAGTAATATGAATGGAGGAAATTAGAGATAGTGTCCTGATATAATGCTTTGTTAGGGTATGTGGAAGGAGTAAGATTCATAATTTCTCTATTTTAGTAATGGTGAAGATGATGAGTTTACTTAATATTACCCATGGCACACATTATTTGGTAGCACTCCCCAATTAAAAATAGCTTGGAAACAGGAGTGGCATCCACTTCCATAATAGCTTGCCTCTGGAAAACCCTATGAACCTGGAGAAAGGATGAAAGTCACACAAGTGTTGAGGACTTTGGTTTATAGGATCGCTATGAGTCACCTACGACTCAATGGCACTTAACAACAACAACAACAACAACAGGGCACACATGAGGGATCTCTGGTAGCCTAATCCATAGGGAGTTCCTCTGCTAATCCAAAAGCCACAACTCTGTACTGATTTTAATCCAATAGCCGCTATGAAGGAGAAAGATGGGCAATCACCTCTGACAAAATTTACAGCCTTAGAGAAGCTTAATGGAAAATCAGCTCAATGGAGGATCAGCTATGTGTTGATTCCAACTTGTCATCAATGAGAAAGAAAGAGAGATGGATATTCTATAAAAGCAGTGTTGTTGTTACTGCTTGTCAAGTCAAGTACAACTCACTGTCACCCTATGAACAACAGATCTAAACCCTGTCCTATCCTGTGCCATTCTCACAATCTCTGATATTCTTGAACCCATTGCTACAGCCACTGTGTCAATAAATTAAGAGTTTATGAACAAAGTTTTCATAGTTCTATGGATGAATCTGAATATTGCCTGCAGTTTAAAAGAACAATTAATGCTTTTCCACATTTACTTTAATGGTCTATAACAATTATCCAACATACTCCAATCTTCCTTAACCAATACTTGATAAGAAGGTACAAGGACACTTCACCAAAGAAGACATTCAGATGGCCAACAAGCACATGAAGAAATGTTCAAAATCCCTAGCTCCAAGAGAGATACAAATCCAGACAACTATGAGATATCATCTCACCCCAGTCAGAATAGCAAAATTTAACAGAACAGCAAGCAACAAACGCTGGCGAGGTTGTGGAGAAACTGGAACCCTTATTCACTGTTGGTGGAAGTGTAGAATGGTGCAGCCACTGTGGAAGGCGGTGTGGCACTTTCTCAAAAATTTGCAAATAGAGATACCATTTGACCCAGCAATTCCACTACTGGGAATATACCCCAAAGAGACCCTAACTGCCATCCAAGCAGATATATGCACACCCATGTTTATCGCAACTTTGTTCACAATAGCAAGGAGTTGGGACCAACCTAAGTGTCCATCAACAAACGAATGGATAGAGAAGCTGTGGTATAGTCACACAATAGAATACTACGCTGCATGGAAAAACAAGGAACTCATGCAATATTAATAAAAATGGGTGACCCTGGAGGACATTATGCTGAGTGAAGTATCTCAGTCACAAAAGGACAAATACTGCATGGTGCCACTGTTGTAAAACAGGACTGACATTGGGGATGGGGGAGACTGAGAAAGATGGGATAAATAATGCATACTGCATTGAAACAGATGGGGTAGAAAACTGTTTAAAAGGGATATGTGATTAGGTATTATTGTCATGACAGGAGTCCAGAATGAAGACTGCATAGTGGGGTGGACTTAGGGGGAGGGATTGTATAACAATAAAAGAATTTTTCTTTTACTTTTCCAAGAGGGTATTGTACTGAGGGGGAGGGTTGGGAGGAGAGAAAAGCGCAACAATGAATGAATGGAAATCCAAAGTCTCTGTAAATTTTCATTGAAATTAATAATAATTTTTTTTAAAAAAGAGAACAACAACAGCAACAACAAAAAAAAAGAAGGTGCAAGGAAAATTACCTTTGCCATTCCAACTGAACTTGCATTCAATTCTGATATCCCTTGGTTGGTCTTATCTCCACGTTCCCATATCCCAAAGTCCTGCGTAAAATAAGAACATATACCACTATTAGTGATTTACAGCTATTAGATACTCACCTAGACGCACAATTCTTCAATTAAAAGCATTAATAGCACTTACTACCACTCATCTGTTACTTTTCTATAGTGTGTTGGGTTGCATGTTGCTGAGTGCTGGCAGTTACATCATCGATATTTCAAATAAAGCAGGGTTACCTATAGTGGACAGATTTCAGCAGCGCTTAAAGACTCAGACAGATTAAGAAGCAGAACTGGCTATATGTTTTTTTAGTTAACAGGATCTCCAAAATCCTATGGATAACACTAAAACAATGCTTGGTATAAATATATATATGGAAGCCCTGTTAATATAACTGCTATTTAAAAATATGCTCATCACTAACTCCAAAAGGGAAGAAATTGTAGATTTCTCTTTACTTTTGCAGTCTGTAATTGATCAAACATGTGATTAAGATACATCAGTAATAATTGATGACTGGAATTCAAAATTTGACACAAGAAGTACTGTTGTTGTTGTTATGTGCTGTCGAGTCGTTTGCGACTCATAGCGACCCTATGTACAACAGCCCTAAACCGTGCTCTATCCTGTGCCAATC